TACTGGAGTTCGTACGCTCACTCATCTCGAACGGCAACTGAAACAAAAGAGCAGCTATTACTTTACTGGAGTTCGTACGCTCACTCATCTCGAACGGCAACTGAAACAAAAGAGCAGCTATTACTTTACTGGAGTTCGTACGCTCACTCATCTCGAACGGCAACTGAAACACAAGAACAGCTGTACTTTACTGGGTTTCGGCTGCAGCACGACAGCAGGTATACTCAATTAATGTCCATAACATCAGGAGCGTATAATGACAATAATGTCAATATTCTTTCGCAATACACCGGTTGTGTCGACGACGACGCAGCGGTTGCCGCAATCTAAAATGATCGATGATTAATCGATCATCATGTAAAACCGATGATTGATCATGAAATTTGGACCGATCTCCAACACTAATAGTAACCCAAGACCAAAGACCGCTAACATAATTGTATTTAATGATTTTATTAATTACGGCCGTTGTGAGGACGTCCGCGGTTGCCCCTACCATTTCGGCGGCCTCCTCTTGCTCCTTCTTCCGCGACCGTATCTGCTCCTCCTCCTCCTTCTTCTTCTCGATTCTCTCGTGGAGGAGGTCTTGAAGAGCTGATACGAGAGTAAACACCATCACCATGCCAACGTTCTCCTCTGCCTGAAGCGCAAAAATGTAAATCACATCAGCTGCGCGACCAATTAGCATTAATTAGCCAGATTAACAGACTAAATTGACTTTGAGTGATCATATAGCAGGATTGTAGGACTCAACCTGAATGGAATCAAACTGAACAATCCTGTAAACTAATCATGATTTGGCAATGCGGAAATGACACCTACCGTTCATGAAGAACATGAAACTCGACGTAATAGGGATATCATATCTGGACTAAAAGTTAAAGCAGACTAGTACTCTAGAAATTGAGAACATGTTATAACACTTATTGCATAGAAATATCTTACTCCTGCAAATTTCCGTCATCAGGCACTAGCTAGTCGATGTTGCAATCAGGGGAAAAATTACTTTTTTTCACGGAGCTCTTTTTTAAAAGTCTGTCTCGAAAGCTGTTCAAAAAAATAGCTCTCGTCAAAAATTTACGGGAGCTATTTTGAGCCTCACAGGAGCGATTTCGGAGGTTTGAAGAGCGAATCGCTCATCGCTCCCGTGTATTTTTTACCCTGGTTGCAATGCTAGGCGAAGTTGCGCTTTGGAATTTTTATCTTACATGTTTCAGTCATTGTTCATGATCAGATGGCTGTTCAGACGTTAGTGCATCAAAGTTAATTCTTCTAGCAGTGGATGCTATGAGTGCATTCTTTGGTTTAACATATAAAATCGTCCCATCGACCTCCATCCTCCTCCATCTTCTCCCTGCATCCTCCATCTTCTCCCTGCACCCTCCATCCTCCCCCATCTTCTCCCTGCATCCTCCATCCTCCCCCATCTTCTCCCTGCATCCTCCATTCTCCCCCATCTTCTCCCTGCATCCTCCATTCTCCCCCATCTTCTCCCTGTATCCTCCATCCTTCCTCTCCATGAATCCTCCATCCATCCTCACCTTCACCCATGGTCCTTCATCTTTTCCAACCCCCACTCCACTCCCACAGTCTATCCTAACCTCCTCCACCCTCTCCCTGCATCTACCTTCACCTCTCTGTGTGTGTGTGTAGGGCTGATATAGGCACCGCGCGTGCATGCGCACACACTCACCTGCTGCAACAGCAGCTGCTGTAGCTCCTCTACATCATCTTCATCTGTGATGTTTTCGTAGTTTGTGATCTCTACCAGTGGCACCTCGTCGGGATAGGTAGGTGTGTAGGTAAACTGTAGAGTGCAGGCGGCTGCAACACGGGCAAACAAACATGAGTGTGAGACACCGGCTCGGGGGTAGAAATTCACTTTTGAACAAGAGGGAGTCCGCAGCAAAACGAGAGAGTCCGTAGTCTGAAGTTCAAACTTAAAGACTTGCTGAAAAAATACGGTCATTCCGCGAGGCCGTGCTCTGGAACGAACTAGGTAGTATAGCAGAATTTCCAGGGAGTCACACGGACTCCTGCATATGTCAAATCAGGGAGTTCGACAGTAAATCAGGGAGTATTTGACTCCGGACTCCCGTGAATTTCGCACCCTGCCGGCTAATATCACTGAATGGACCCCACAGCTGGAGCTTACAATCCTGGGTCTTAACATTAGTCTTAACATTAACTTTTTCTCTTAGACTGTAGACCGTTGACAGAAACGCTGCGAAGTTACGAGAATGAAAAATCGTAGCAGATTTCCTCATAACAATACGATACAAAGTGCTGTCGACGGTCTACGAGAAAATGTTAGCGTTAAGACAAGTTTCTGACAACGGGTTCCTGCTCCATAACCCCCCTTCGAGGGTTGATGTTGCCCTCTACCACCACATTCTTGCCCTGTGCCCAACATTGCTGGATCTTCACCAACAGTGACAGGGGTCGAAATTCGCTAAAAATAACACTTGCGCATGCCGCCAGTCAGGTTAAACAATTACTTGCGCCAAGAGATTTTTACTTGCAGTGCTACCTCTGTTGCTTTCCAAACTTGCAGTACACCCTTCCCTTCCTCCCTGTCTTAGTTTATGATTTATTCTATGTCTTCTGTGTCTTCCTGCTCTGATTCCGAGTCATTTACGCTTCAATTTCGTACAGAAATCAGAATAAACTGGGTCTGACTTCTAAATACGTAAGTAGCTGGCATATTGTTGACTTGCGGCAGCCGCAAGTTGCTACGAAACATCGCTTGCGTTCGGTGAAAAACACTCGTGTTGCGCAATCACTATATAGCGAATTTTGACCCCTGAGTAATCGTCTCACCTCCTACGTCCGTGTCGTCCTCGTAGTCCTCTGTCTGTACGAACACACTGAAGCACGTTGGGTCTGTCGATATTTCTGCAAATAAGAAAACCAGCAATGCCTATGTTAGCAGTGAAAGCTAGTGATGTCCCGACAATCGATTATAATCGAATTGCTGGCCGCTTTATCAGCGTGGGTGCTAGAGTTCGATAAGATTGTGCAGGCCCGGTTTTACCATCGCATCCCGTCGCTGTATTGTTTACTTATTTTTTGGAACATTCTCGTAATTAACAATGTTGAAAGCGATGAATAATAATAAGCGATCGGTAGATTGCTCTGCACAAACTTAAGAATGGGCAGCGCGATCTCGAGATTGCTACGCAGTCTGCTGATCGGTAGATTGCGCAGCGCAAACTCAAGTCTGCGCAGATCGGAAGATTGCGCGCAACATATATATAATGGGTTGAAATGTGCTAATACGATTGTTTTAATTACGAAATTCGGCATTTCATTTTCAAGCTAGAAGGTTTTTCGTATGAAAGAGTATCAGGCTCCTATGACGTACTAGTTCGTACTGTATTTTCTATTTTTGTCAAGTTGTGTTCTCATTATTTGTACCTATGTTTTCTTCTGGTTCCTGTAGTCAATGTATGCCAATCAAAACCATATTTTATTATTTATAAATGATTATTTAGTGAACAAACCGATCATA